ATCACCCGGACGCCATCAGGGGAAGAGGGAGAGTATTTTCATATTGAGTAATTGTAAAGGAGTGAGGAGGTGGCGGAGGAGGAGGTGGAGGAGGAGGAGGAGAAGGAGGGAGGAGGAGTAGGAGGAGGAGTAGGAGGAGGAGGAGGAGGAGCAGGAGGAGGAGGAGGGAAAGGATGAGGAGGAGGAGGAGGAGGAGGAGGAATAGGAGGGGGAGGGGGAGGAGGAGGAGGAAGAGGAGGAGGAGGAGGAGGTGGAGGAGGAGGAGGAGGAGGAGGAGGATTAGAGGGAGGAAGAGGATAAGAGGGAGGAGGAGGAAGAATAATAATACTAAGAAACATGTTACGAATAGCAGTAGTAATAATAATGATAAGTATCCCAGTGCGACCCTACCTAGAAGTTGGAGCTCCTAGGAAAGCAGCATTAGTTGCTATTATATGATATGATATGTTATGCCATGCTATGCTATGCTATGATGTGCTATGCTGCGCTATGATATGATATGCTAAGCTATGCTATTTCATGGGCTTTGATTTTCTGTTGCTGTTGTTTTTGCTTTGCGTTGTCTGTGCTTTGCTTTGCTGACGCTGCTGTTGATTTGCCTTTGCTTTGCTGTTATGCTCTGCTATGCTGCGCTGCGCTGTGCTATGCTGCGCTGTGCTGTGCTGCGCTATGCTATGCTATGCTATGCTATGCTGCGCTATGCTATGCTATGCTGGGCTATGCTATGTTATGATATGCTGCGCTATGCTATGCTGTGCTTTGCTATGCTAACGCTCAGCGAAGCTAATATGAAGGTACGCCAAGCTAATATAAACCTGAGCTAAGATGAAGCTCAGCTAAGCTAAGATGGAATACGCTAAGTTAAGATGAGATAAGCACCGCTAAGCTAAGGGGACACAACTGGGGGAACCGCGGGGCGGATCCTGGGGGAACCGCCCGGGGCGCATTACACTGCCCGGCCCCTTTAAGCAACCAGAGTAAGAACATGAGATAAGCAACGCCAAGTTAAGGGGACGCAACTGAGGGAACCGCGGGGCGGATGCCGGGGGAACCGCCCGAGGCGCATTACATTGCCCGGCACCTTTAAGCAAACAGAGTAAGAACCCTTCTAGGCAGAGCCTAGGTAGGGAACAAGAGGAATTTGAAGACTAAATGAGAGGAGGAGGAGGAGGAGGAGGAGGAGGAGGAGGAGAGGAGGAGGAGGAGTGAAGGAGGAGGAGGAGGAGGAGAAGGAGGAGAAGGAGGAGGAGGAGGAGGATAAGGAGGATCAGGAGGATAAGGAGGATGAGGAGGAGGAGGAGGATAAAGGAGGAGGAGGAGGAAGAGGAGGAGGAGGAGGAGGGGGAGGAGGAGGAGGAGGGAGGAGGAGGAGGAGGAGGAGGAGGAGGAAGGAGCAGGGGGAGGGGGAGGAGGGAGAAGAGGAAGAGGAGGAGGATGAGGAAAAGGATGAGGAGGAGGAGGAGGAGGAGGAGGAGGAGGAGAAGGAGGAGGAGGAGGAGGAGGAGAAGGAGGAGGAGGAGGAGGAGTAGGAGGAGGAGGAGAGGGAGGAGGAGGGGGGGAGGAGGAGGATGGAGAGGAAGAAATACGCTACGAATAACAGCAGTAATAATAAGGATAACAATAATAATTTGAAGACTAAAACAGAAGAAGAGGAGGAAGAGGAGGAGGAAAATGAGGAGGAGGAGGAGGAGGAGGAGGGGGATTGGGAGGGGGAGGGGGGGCGTCGGGGTCTGAATTCCTCCTCCTGGCTTCCTGATATGATATGTGTACATATATATATATACATGAATCTGATTTTCTTGATCTGATGTTCTGGATGTGATGTTCTGGACCTGATTGTCATTATCTGATTCTCTGGGTGCGAGATATTGGACCTGACTTTGGATCTGAATCATTAGATCACACTCTCTGGATCAGATTCTCTGGATCTGATCTGAATCAGATTCGAGTAATCGGAATTACTTCAGGATTATCTGAAGGTGTATGATTATGTGTATGACTGCCGCTCATTTTAAGTCACCTTTTTTGGCGTTTATCTACATGTATCTAAATTTGTATGTTTTTCACGTGTTCGAAATGTGTTTAATGTTTCCCCATGGGTCTTGATGATTGAAAGTGTTCCCCATTTTCTCCATTGGTCTTGATCTTTCCCCATGGTTTTCCCCCAATGTGTTTCAGTGGATGATTTCGATTGTGAGATCAACAGTGGCATCGATAGTGAGGACGATTGTGAGGTCGATCGTGAGACCGAGAGTGGAATATATTCAATGAGATCGATAGTGAGATCGATCGCGAGATCGCTCTTGCGATCTCTAGTGAGATTGCTTGTGAGATTGCTAGTGAGATCGATTGTGAGATCGAAGGTGAGATCGATCGAGAGGTCGGTGATTAGATCGATTGTGCGACCGATCGATCAGAAGATCGACAAGGAACCCAGGAAACCTGGGAACCTCTTCGCCCTCCGAAATCGGCCAGGAACCCGGAACCCGGGAACCCGAAATCGGGAACCCGGAAACCCGGGAACCCAGCTTGCCACCAAAATCGGCGGGGAACGTTTGCCAAACCTTTCAATCTCCGCTAGGACCCCTTCAGTACAAGCATTGATTGGGGAAATGTTTTCTGAATGTGTGCAAATCTTCTAACTTTAGCTCGCTCGATTTGAGTATACATTTGATTTACAAGTCGCCTCTCATTCTATGGACCTGGCTAAATTATTCAACCCTCTGTTATTTAATCGAACTGTATTTTAACTGTTTCCAAACTTACCTGAATTCAGTTACATATTTGTTTTGTTTATAAACTTTAAGTTTGTATAAATTGATTTGCAAACATCCAACTGAGTTTGCTTCCATGTGGCTTCTCATTATCATGGTCTGTATAAAACTCTTCACACCTACATGCATAGGGATACGACTATCTGGATATGATCCTATGGATCTGCTTCTCTGGATCTGATTCTCTGCATCTGATTACTTGGGTCTGATTATGGATCTGAATCCTTATCCCATTCTCTGGGTATGATTCCCTGGCTATGCTTCTTATCAGTAATGCTTTGTTCGATGCTCATTATTACTCATAGTCCAAATTCTTAATTCGATCCCTATTCTTATTATTATCCGCATTCTGATGTTGTTTTCATTATTCCTAGTCTGAGTCGTTACTCGTATCGTTATTCTTATTCTTTTCCTATACATGATATCATGAGTATCGTAGTTATTATTCTGGATAGGTTTAGTGGTGGTATGGTTTGTAGTCTTATGTTCGGTCGTATGATGTTTCACTCTATTTGTTGTTCGCAATGTGTTTGGCATTGTCATTGCTCTCGTTTTCCATGGTTTTTATGAGTGGTATTATTAGTTTCAGTCGCATTCATACTATGTTTTATTCGTACTGTCATAAGTATGCTCATTGTTATTATGATCCTTATTAATTGTCATTTCATAGTCGTATCATGCTCCATGGTTTCCATCTGTGTATGTCGTTGTTTCTTTCATGTGATTGTTTTTCTTTCCGGCGTATTAGCATTGCCATTCTTATTCGTAATATCAGTCGTACTATTAAGAATACAATTTTTCTTCGGAGTGGTCATTGTCCGTATTCGAGGGGGAGCAGGAAGAGGAGGAGGAGGAGGAGGAGGAGGAGAAGGAGGAAGAAGAGGAGGAGGAGGCAGAGGAGGAAGAGGAGGAGGAGGAGAAAGGAGAGGTGGATGAGGAGGAGGAGGAAGAGGAGGAGCAGGAGGAGGAGGAGGAGGAAGAAAAACAGGAGCAAGAGGAGGAGGAGAAGGAGGAGGAGCAGGAGGAGGAGGAGGAGGAAGAAAAGGAGGAGGAGGAGGAGGAGGAAGAGGGGGAGGAGGAGGATGAAAAGGAGGAGGAAAAGGAGGAGGAGGAGGAGGAGGAAGAGGAGGAGGAGGAGGAGGAAGAGGAGGAGGAGGAGGAAGAGGAGGAGTAGGAGGGGGGATGATGATGGTGGTGATGATCGATTGTTCCAGATGCTCCCATATTCTTGCGAATTGTCCCAAATTGTTCCAGATTCGTCCAGATTCTTCCGGATTCTCCAAGATGTCATCAGTTTTTTCCAGATTTCTAGGGATCGTCTGACAAGCGCCCAAGCGACAAGCGCCCAAGCGTCAAGCGCCAGCAATATCTGAATGACTAGCGGCGCGCCGCTCCGCAAAAATGGACGCAGAACATTCAAGAGCCTCTTGATCCGGTGCCCTTAACGAGTCCGCAGGATCAAGGATTGAGATGCGAGGGATCGAGCAAGGGACCTGATGACACTCCACTTCGTGCCTCAAGGGTACGATAGCGGATTACGGCTTGGCCTGGGACAGGCTTCCATGAACCCTACAGCATGTGGGAGGCCAGATCAAGCACGCTTCTGCTGCCGCCCTCAGAAGAAGGGGGGTGAGGCAGGGGGGGAGCTCTCCAGGACAGACTCGTTCTTCGAACAGCGTCTGGGGACCTGAAGACTTCCGGGACGGCTGGCCAGCCCGTCCTCCCCGGGCATAATTACCCCTCTCCTCTTCCGTCGTCTCTTTGGTCGTCTCCCCGGGCCTGCCTTCCATCGCTTCCCTGGCCCCCTTGCTTGCTTCCCTCGCCTTGCCCCCCTCCTCTCCCAGCCTTTCACCTGTCGATTCCCCCCCTGAGAGGCATCTCCCTCCCTCTCCACCCTGCTTTCCCCTTCTCCCTACCCCCTCCCACTCTCCACCTCCCTTATCCGCCCCGTCCCTCCCTCCCCTGCTCGCTCCTCCCTCAGTCCTCGCCCGCCCCCCCCAAACCAGAACGGCCCCTGGACCTTCCCTTGTGTGCGATTTGGCCAGAATCTCCTAGGGAGGCCTGGCGTGGTGACGAGAAGCCTCCAACACGCGAGAACGTCAACAAACGTCCAACAACGTTGAACCTCGATCCTCCTCCTCCTCCTCCTGCTCCTCCTCCCTTGGTCCCTCATCCCTTCCTTCTCCGCCCGCCCCTGCCTCGCGCCGCCCGCGGCCCTCCGCGGAGGCCGCGGCGTCCATGGCGGCGGTTCCACAAGACTTCCTGGACCCGCGGGGCCAAAGAGGGCCGCCTCGCGGTCCTCGTCGCTGGGCGTCGTCGTGTTCGCGACGACGGCCCTGACTTTCGGGGGGGCACCGTAGGCATCCTCGACGACTGCTTTCGCCCCGTGCTCGTCCATGGGACCCTCACGGATTCATCTGGCTCGGAGGATCAAGCATCAGGTCGGTGCCAAGAGTTTGGGCCGTGATCCCATCAAAGTTTTTCGACGTACAGGGTTCTGATAGAGGTCAAGGGTTCACGACGTACAACACTTCAGAATCCCTCCTCGGAGGGCCTTGCCAGAAGCCCCAGGCGATCACCCAGTTCTCATTCGGTGCGTTCCCGTTGGAGGATGGTGCTTCCCGTGGCACCTGTCGGGTCCAGGAGGAACGTCGCCAGAAGCATTGGGCGCCGCGAGACATCGCTTATCCAGCGTGTGCCAGCTCCAGGGTAGCGTCGCCCCAGGGCCGGACTATGCTCCTGAACCGTCCCAGGTGCATGTGCGTGCTTGCTCGAGGATGTTGCGCCTCTGGGCCAGACCCTGGTGAGTTCCAGGATCGTTCGAGATGCAAAGAACGGACGGGGGTGCAGAGAAGTGCCCGCCAATGTGGCCAGAGGTGCACCCATGTGTTGTTCGTTTCTTTCTGTCCACTAGTGTCCTCCTCTTGTTCCTCCTCCTCCAACGTAGCCCTTTGACCAAGCACGCGCACTGTGGTGCCAGCGGGCGTCCGAAAGAAAGAAACGAGATGTAACCCGAGCATGCCGGCTCGAGGGTGGTGTTTTGGGGCCAGACGTGGTTGTTTGGGACCGTCCAATGTGCATGCCGTGCTTGCCAGCTCGAGGATGGTCTGTCACAGGAGCAGACATTGGGACGGCGCCCCATCACAAAGACGCCCTATCGGAAGCAGTGGGTTTTGGTTTGATTATGGTAGCGCCATGTCCAACCAGGTTGTGTATTTGTTGTGTTTTCGATGGCGCCCGCGCGTGGCATGCCCAGCTCGGCGGAGTAGAAATGTTTGCCAGCGTGGACCCCAAGCAGTCAGTCGTTGCACTCGATGTGCAATCTGTGTGGTGCAATCTGTGGGATGCAAGTAACCGTGAACCTGCATGTGTTACGACCTCCCATGCTCGAACAAACATCCCTCCCAACCACCCGCAACTCGCTTGCGAAACTCAAGAGACCGTGAGTGCAGCAGCCAATCGGAATCGGTTTGCATATCACAGCTGGCGCAGCGATTCGCGATGAAGCCGATGGTGATGCTGGTGATGCTGCTGTTGATGAAGATTCAGATGATGAGGATGAGGATGATGAGGATGAGGATGAGGATGAGGATGCTGATGAGTATGAGTATGATGGTGTTGCTGCTGATGATGATGCTGATTGCGATGATGGCGATGATGATGATGCTATTATGATGATGCACATGATGGTGATGGTAATGGTGATGATGATGATGGTGATGATGATGATGATGATGATGATGCTGATGATGATGATGGGTGGTGGTGATATCGATGATGCTGCTGGTGGCGATTGCAACGACGATGATGATGCAGATGATGATGATTATGCTGATGACTAAGAAGCTGGTTATGGTGATGATGATGCTGCTGCTGATGATGATTATGAGGATGATGATGATAAGATAGTGGTTATACTAGTGGCGATGGCGAGGTCGACGACAGCGACGATGACGAAAACGATGGTGATGGCGACGAGGGTGGTGATGACAATGACGATGGTGATGGTGATCAAGATGATGATGAAGTGTCCGCGCGGGGTTGACATCTGAGGGAACCGCCATTTGAGAGAACTGAAAGAACAGCAGTTTGTTATCCAGTCACCTTCGGGCAATCCTGCTACCGTGCCTGGGTTGTGGGCCAGAGGCCTCTTGGATGCCTGTTGGGGTCTCTTACGATGCCTGTCGGGGGCCTCTGGAGGGTGCTCTTGGGGGCAACTTGGAGGCCTCTCGGAGGCCTCTTCGGAGCGTATTGGGCGCTTCTGGATGGCTTTTGGAGCCATGTTGGGGGTCTTGGATATAAGATTTGGGTAAAAAGCGCCCAAGGTCCCTTCGCTTTCCCCCCCCTTGGGGCCCTCCTGGTGGCCTCTTGGCCTGTCTTGGAGGCCTCCTGGGCCGTCTTGTGGCCCTCTTGGGCCGTCGTAGGGCCCTCTTGGGAGCCTCTTGAGCATTCGTGGGGTGACCTTGGGGGCTCTTGGGCCGTCGTGGAGCGTTGCAATCTGTCAAGAACTGTCAAGAACCTTCAAGCATGATGGTGGCTTCTCGGGGCTCCTTTGGAGGTCAACTTGGGAGCCCTCTTGGGGCGTTTCTAGGGCCTCTTAAGCCGTCCTCTGGCTTAATTTGAACCCTATCGGGAAGCTCTTGGGCCGTCTCTGGACCTTGTGGACCGTCCTGGCAGCCTCTCGGGATCCTTTTGGACCCTCCTCGGGCGATGACGCGGGGATCCCATGAACATCCAGGACTTGGGCATCTGGGTTTTTCAACAAGTATTCGGCACTCTCCAGATTGAGGGTCCTCGACGACCTGAGGACTCTGCTCAGTGCCTCGCGGCATCGTGGCGGATATGGTTTGAACAGCTCTCTTTGGAAATGCTTCGAAAGCAAATTGTTCCCCAACTCGGCTTGCCTAAGGAGGTCCTACTTGGTTAAAAGTTGGTGCCTCCTATTGTTACGTTGCCCGTTGCTATGAGGTTCCTCCGGTTCCTCGGGTTCCCCGCCCCCAGTGCCTCCTATTGTCAGGTTGCCCGCTTTCCGGAGGTTCCACGGGTTCCCGGGGTTCCTCGGGTTCCCGCCACCGCTTCCTATTGTTACGTTGCCCGTTCTTCGGAGGTTCCTCGGGAAGCCGAACGGATAAGCACGCCTAAATTCTTCAAAACCTATGGAGATCGATGGTTCTTGCCTCCTGGAGCCCTGTTGAGACGCTTCTTCGAGGCTTCTTTGGGCGTCTTGGGAGCGTCTGCGGCCGTCTGGAGGCTATCTTGGGCGTCTTGGACCGATCGGTCGGCGGAGCCCTCTTGGACCGTCTTGGGGGTCTCTGGGAGCGCTCGGGGGCGCCTGACAGTTGCGCCCAGCAGAAAAAAACATCTCTGGGCCGTCTTGGAGCGTCGGGAAGCCGAACAGATGAGAACGCCAAAATCTTTCAAAAACCAAAGCGAAATCGATGGTTCTTGCCTCCTGGAGCCAGAGCCCTTTCGAGGCGCTTCTTCGAGGCCTCTTTGGGCGTCTTGGGAGCCTCTTGGGGCCGAGGGCTCGAAATGTCCGTCCTGGTTTCCGGTCTGGCCCCCTCTTGTGGCCGACCTGGGGATATCTTGGGCCGTGTTGTCGGCCTCGTGGGCCGTCTTGGGGCCCTCTTGGGCCCTCTTGGGGCTCTCTTGGAGGCCTCTTGGGCCGTCTTGGGGCGATGTTTGTTGCCTCTTGGGCCGTCTTGGAGCGTCGGGATGCCGAACAGATACGAATGCCCAAATTCTTCCAAACCTAAGGACGTCGATGGTTCTTGCCTCCTGGAGCCCTGTTGAGACGCTTCTTCGAGGCTTCTTTGGGCGTCTTGGGGGCGTCTGCGGCCGTCTGGATGCTATCTTGGGCGTCTTGGACCGATTGGTCGGCGACTCGGAGCCCTCTTGGACCGTCTTGGAGGCCTCTGGGAGCTGGGAGCGCTCGGGGGCGCCTGAAAGCCGCGCCCAAAAGGAAACCCCATCTCTGGGTACGGCCGGGATGCATTTCGTCCGCGGACCCCCAGGGGCCGCCCCGCGCGCGCGAAGTAGAATTAATGTTTACCAGTAGCTGGAGATCTTAGCACGCCTCTGGCCCGTTGTGCCGGCGAATTCCCAAATCGCGCTCTCGCGCGGGACTTCTCACAATTTATTCAGGAATCGCGCTCTCGCGTTGGATTTCCTCACAGTTTATTCAGACGCCGCGCTCTCGACATTTAGGAGTCACGCTCTTGCTGTGGATTTCTTCACGATTGATTTGGGAATCGAGCTATCGCTCGAGACTTCCTCGCGATTCATGCAGGACGCACGCTTGAGCAACCCGCCTGCTCGACCCGGCCGCCTGGGCCCTCCTTCCCCACCCGCCTGGTAGGGTCTACCCGCCCGATCTGCCCGTCTGGTTCTGCCACGTGTTTTCTGCTCTCAGCCCGTGCTCCATCCTCCTCCCTCCCCCTTGTCCTTCCTTCCATCCGTCCTCTCTTTCCCTGCCTCAGGGGCTGCGCGAAATATTCATCACAGGAAAGGAAAGGTATGCCCCAAGGGGCTGCGGTCGAGGACGAAGACGGGGGTATCGAGGGTTTGGGATATACGTGGTGAATGGCACGCGAGCAGATAAGAGCGAACAGTTTTAAATTGATTGTTGTTGTTGGTGCGTGTTGCGGAATATTCAGTTCTAGAGAATGGTTACGCGCGCTCCTGCCTCGACGCCGGCTGCAACTCTTATGCAAACGAGACTCTCGCTCGAGCGTGGGTTTGATTGTAAACGTGTGCCCTTGGAGGCCCGGCTACAACGACAACAGTTCCCGCTCGATATTTCCTCACAATTTACCCCGAGACACCCTGGCCGCAGAAGCCTCCGATCTCAGAAACGGAGCTGTCGCTCGAGACTCTCAGGCAATTCAGTCAAGTTGGCGCGGGCCCGCTCAAGACGATAAGGGCTCATGTTCGATACTTTCTCACACTTTACTCCGAGAGCCCCTGGCCAGGAAGGCCCCCAAACTCAGGAATGGCGCTCTCGCGCAAGACTTTCTTAATTCAGTAAAAATGGTGGAGGCCCAACTTCGACGACAAAGGCTTTCGTTCGATAGTTCCTCAAGATGTATTCCCAGAGGCCCTGGTCAGAGAGTCTTCCGAACTCAAGAGTGGCGCTCTCGCCCGAGACTTTCCCGTAATCCAGGCAAGCTGGTGGAGGCCCAGACACGGCGACAGGGGCTCCCGTTCGATATTCCTCAATTTGGATTCCGAGAGCCCCTAGCCAGAGAGGCCCCCGAACCCAGGAACG